ATTTGAATACCGAGGGGAAAGTAAGCTTAAATAAGAATTTTGAAAACAGGACATATAGTGACTCAATAAGATGACTTTTATAAATATAGTTGAAATATAAACCACTCAAAAAAGATGTTATATGTGGATGTTATAGGATATATAAATAGTATGGTGTCTTTATAATATATGAAATATGAAAATATTGGGATGGGGTATGCAAATGGAAAGTTTGGATATTTAGGTAATTAATTTTGAGAAAACTATGATAACAATAGTTTGAATACTGAGGGGAAATTAAGTTTAAATAAGAACTCTGAAAATAGAACACATGGTGACCTAACAAGATGACTTTTACAAATACAATTGAAACATAAGTTAATTAGAAAAGATGCTATATATGGATGTTATTGTTATCTGTACAAACACAAAAAATGTTTACTGTATATTGTATGTACTGAAAATATTATATTAATCTAATGTTGACAAAGGAGAATAACATTGGAAGAAGGGAAGATCAAAGAAACATACTATTAATTAATATATTGATCATGGAATTATAGAAATTATTTTTTTTTTCAAATATATGAACCCAGACAACACACTGTTTGCTAAGCACTAAAGATCGTTATTGCAAAAAATCAATAAAATATATTAAAAAACACATGTAAATACATGTAAATGTATTATAGAAAATGTGAGAATGGGCTTAATCAAGCTCAGTGTTAAATCTGGCTGGTGGTTTTGCGAGAAGAGGTGGGTGTTTCCTTCTTACCTGAAAATAAGAACAAGCTCCTTTTTTGCCACACATGTAGCATAAATGCTCTTTTTTGATTTCTGCCATGTAAAAGTTGACCATGCAAAGGGGAACATCAAAGGATGTCTGAACAACCTTGACTGCTATCCCATTGTCCTTCTTTTTTACCCACAATCTCCCATTCCATCATCATCAACACAGAATTTCTCCAAGCTCATTTTTATTATGATGATTATCGATGTGCTCCATTGTGTATTCAGGATGTGTATTAAGGCAACAGTAGCATTACAGTAGAAAACTGTGCTTGGGCTGTATGCCCTCTTCCCCCTCCAGAGAAAGAGGAAGAAATAACCTCCGAGCAATTTTGTCTGTGTTGAGAAATTATTAGGGACACATCATCATGCTTTCCCTGGATCCTCCTTTAAGGTCACTGTCCGATTGAACACCAGCTGTAGAAAAAACAAAGGAAATTAGTATCTCTCCTCCATCTTCACATCCATTTTAGAGAATGACCCTTCCTTCCTGCTCCTAAAACTTTGTAACGGAGTCAGCAACCTACAGCCCATGGGCCAGAAGTGGCCTATAACCCATAACAATCTGGACCATGGTCCCCAAAAGAAACATACTGTAATGAACTGGCCCACAAGAATGAGGGAGAGATAGGTTCCCTGGCTGCTTCAGTGTGGGTGGAACAAGTCCCCTGCCTGGTGCTGGTGGGAGCGAGCCATTTAGGCCCAGGCCAAATGGCAGTGGCAGCATGGCTTCTGGTTTCTTCACAGAAGTACGTTGCCAACCTCTGCTTTATAAGAAAGTCTCCCTCCAGTTCTTGCAACTTTGTGCAACCCACCTTTGCATTTGTGCTGTCAGGATCTACTGAAAAGTACCCCAGCCGCTCAAATTGGAATTTGGTGAATGGCTTGGCTCCATATACAGATCGATCCACCAGAGCCTCTTCAATCACATGAAGGGAGTCCTGGAGTGGAAGAAAAAAGGAAGACAAAGCTGAAGTTACAATAATTTCTTTTTCTTCATTGGCAGATTTACTTAAAAGCTCTTCATCCCAACACGTTAAAAATCTGCAACTTCTCTAAAGCAGGGGTGTCAAACTCAATTTCATTGAGGGCCGCATCAGCATTGGGGTTGCCCTGGGGTGTGTGTGGCCAGGGTGGGTGCGGCCTACTGGGTAGGTGTGGATGGAGTGGGTGTGGCCTACTGGGTGGGCATGGCCAGCTCTACATCGTTCATGTCAAGGGTGCCTGTGGGGGCCTGGGCAGGAGTGGGACAGATCTGAGGGTCTCTGGCAGAAGGGGGTGGGACCAGGGCAAGCGCCAAGGCGTGGTCCATTTCTTCTTTCCTCCAAAAGGGTGACACCTCCCCAGCATGCACCCAGGGGGTGGGGCCGACGTGGCAGGGGCTGGTTCCTCGCTGTTTCCAGAAGGCTTTGTGGAGCTAAGACTGAATGCGTTTCAGCATAGATGGCCATCACAAAATTGTACATTGGCTCTCGGCCGGCCTGGGCCAGGGCCAGGGCCAAGGCAGCGGGGGCCATTCCCTCACTGTTTCCAGGATGGCTTCGCGGGCCGCATGAAACTACTTTGCGGGCCGCATCCGGCCCCCGGGCCTTGTGTTTGACATGTCTGCTCTAAAGTCTTAACTCTTTATATCCATATTCTTTATATCGATATTCTGGTATGTCTTCACTAATATTGGTATGTTTGACTTCTCAGAAATTCACTTTAAATTAGGATGGGTGTAGGAGCAAGCAGACTCATTTTGATCAGCAGCACACTCCAATTCATAAATATTTCCAAACTCTACTGTATATTCCTAGAATGGTTGCTGGCACCCAGTAAGATTCAAATTGCATTTTTCTTCTCTTCTGATTGAGCATGCATTCTCTGCACATTTTTTTAGTAATGTATATTTTTTATCAACTGTTTTTGTCTCTACTTTTACACCTGAATCTTGTTTTATTGCAAACGTAGAGTCCCTTGTTTTTTAACTGTTGCAATGTTCTACTTTTTGACAAAAAACACACTTTCTTAATTGCAGCTTACTCTCTTCCTCACACTGAGGAACAGCTGTCTAGCTTTCTCTTAAGTCTGCCCACCCAAATCCTATGTGTTAACAAGCCTTCTTGGCCCAGAACTCACAGGACTGATATCACTCAGGAACCCTCCTGGCACTTCTGTGGAGTCTTCAGGATTCTTATGCAGGAACCTGCAAATCAAAAAGTTAGATCGCTATTAGGATGAGAGCCAGTTTGGTTTAGTGGTGAAGGCACCTGGCTAGAAAGTAGGATACCGTGAGTTCAAGTCCTGCCTTAGCCATGAAAGCCAGCTGGGTGACTTTGGGCCAGTCACTCTTTCTGAGCCCAACCCACCTCACAGGGTTGTTGTTGTTGTTGTGGGGAAAAAAGGAGAAGGAAAATGTGTTGGATATTTTTGCCACCTTATTTGTAAAAATAATAAGGGCAATATGCAAATAAATAAAAATAAAAATTTTTTTAAAAAAATAAAAGAAGAGACTTCTAAGTGATTTGCGTGTGACTATCCTAAGCTTCTGGGGGACAATCGGGGATATATGTAGTTAATTTGGGAAAGAGGAAGACCTGAATGGAGACAAAGAAAAGTTAATTCCTGTGTGATTCCTTCTATTAGAATCTTCAAGGGTAAAATTCAGATAGAATTTCCATACCGTAAGGAAGAGGCTGAGTTTAATATTACATCACCCTCACAAATGAGAACAATTTAACAATACTCACAGCTGCTCATACTGGCGGACTTCACACACAAGAGGATCCGATACCCAGTGGATAAAGGCCTTGGGCTTCTCTGCTGCCTCTGACTTCGTGCAAGTCACTTCTAGCTCTTTTACATGTCCACTGGTGTCCTGGGCATAAACATGGAAGTTGTGATATTCTTGTTTCCATCTCAGGCTCCACAATCTCTCTTCTTCCTGAATGCCTTTGCTACCTACACTCTGCCTGTTTTTACTCTGATTCAGAAGTTACATTTTTTGACTTTATATAGCCATACCTCTATTGTTTGGCATCCCCCTTGCTATCCTCTTTAATTTACTATTTGGCAAAATAGTAATCCTCAACTTATAACCCTTCATTTTAACAATGGTTCAAAGTTACTACGGATGGGAAAAAGTGACTTAAGGCATGAACCTCACATTTATGACTGTCATATCACCCCTGTAATCACATGACTGTAATAGGATCACTTGACAACCAGATCACATTTACAATTGGTTGCAGGATCCTGACATCACATGATCACCATTTACAATCTTTTTTGCCAATTTCTGGCAAAAGTTGCCTATTGGGGAAGCGGATTTGCTCAACAACTGCACGATTCAGAAAATACTATGGTGATTTACCTCAGGACTACTGTAAAAATCATCATAAAATCAAGATAATCCTGGATTTACGACCATAAAGGAGCCTGCCCATGATGGTCATAACTTGTGACAGTCATAAAGTAGATCATAACGTGATCGACTCAATTTGACAACCTTTTTTGTGGAGGTCATTAAGCAAACCACCGTGGCTGTTAAGTTAACCTGTGGTCATTAAGCAAACACCACAGCCATTAAGCGAATTCATTATTCATTAGGAGGTATTTTTGCCAAAAACTGGAAGTAAATCTGGTTTTCAGCAAAAACATTGTAAATTGTGATCATGTGATGCTGCAAATGGCCATAAATGCAGGCTGGTTATTCAGCAGCTGAAATATAGTCATGTGGCCATTAGGGTGGGGACGGGAATAAGGTCGTAAGTACCTTTGGGGGAGGGGTCCTTCATAACTTTGAACAGTCATTAAATGACCAGTCATAAGTCAAGAACGACCTCTAAAAAGCATCTAAGCATCCAGACAAACCACACATTTGACAGACAACTGGGGTTGGTTTATGCAATTCACATGGATATGTGCCCTCTAATCTATTAATGGTCTTCAGGCCAGAATAGATTTGACCGCTCTGTCCTAGTCTATAGAAATGGAACTGGTGGCCTCTTAGAAGATGCTGTGACCTCTACTCACCTTAATGATATTCTGAACAGCAATGACATAGCCAGAGTGCCTCAAACCCACTGGCTGACCCAGTGCTAAGCGCTTGTAGCCTTTATCTGGAACCTGTCAGAGAAGAACTATTAACATCAGCAGGGAACCAATAAAGATGCCTGGGCCAGAAGAAAGCCTCCCAGCTCACTTCAGTTACCCAGAAGATAACGGGGTAGGCAACCTTGGCTCTTTTATGACTCGTGGACTTCAACTCCCAGAATTCCTAAGCCAGCCATGCTGAGGGGAAAGGGAGAGGTTTCCAAGCTGAGCCATGTTGGCTCAGGAATTCTGGGAGTTGAAGTCCACGAGTCATAAAAGAGCCAAGGTTGCCTACCCCTGGTTTAACCTGTTTAACCACCAGCATTTCCAATGCTTTGAAAAGGCAAATATTGTCTCAGCTGAGGATTTGCCCTATCCTGGAAATTCAGAAAAGTTATTGATTTCTGATAGCATCTGACGGAAGTGAATATGATTAATAGGATGGCAGAATAGCTGGCTATTCCCTTGGCAGTGATCAAGAACTTATATAAGTCTGTATTCCAGCTAATACAGCATGCAGTTGCCTTCAGTTTCAAAGGGAGACAGATAAATTTATATGATTTTTCTTTTCAAGTGGAAGTTAGAAAGATTCGAAAAAAATCTCCAGAGAAAGAAACCTAAAAGGGAAGGGAGTGAGAAATGGGAGACATCACTTTTTAAATATGTTCTTATAATAAAGTCACATCTATAAAATGGGCAATGGAATCCCAAGCCTTTTAAAATAAGAGGCTGCAGGACCTCAACCTATCCTTCAGCTCATTAACAATCCAGCATGACTTTGAGAGAAGGAAGCCCAAAGGAGTTATATTTGGGTCACATTCAGCAGGCTTTTTTGTTGTGGTTATATGCATACTTTCACTAAATAAATAAATGTGAGAATAGGTTGAGTCAAAGCAATTATTAGACAATAGAACTGATTTCCTAGGAGGCTTAAATTAGGCAGGAGAACCCTCTGTTGAAGATGCTCTAAGTCTGAAATTCTTGTGTGAAGAAGGAAACAACCCAACAAGGCCTCTTCCAACCTCCACGGTCCCTTCCATCATCATCATCATCATCATCATCATCATCATCATCATCATCATCATCATCATCATCATCATCATCATCATTATTCTACGAATCTTGCTGTTCTGGCACCATAAATACAATCTTTCTTTCAAATATCTGAAAACGGAAACTGCCAGGGCCAGAACAAAGTACACTGCAAATCATAAGAGCCAATATTTCATCAAGAGAAATAAATTAATCTGCAGTGCAGGTATGGCTCTCATCCAGATACTGCACAAACTACATACAATATCAAGCAAGAAATAGCAAAGGGGACTGCACACAGCAGATACAGTACTGGCCAAAATTGTGGAAACCTTTTGGGAAAAGTATATTTTTGAGGTTTGATGGCTAATAACACCACTTTTTTTGAGTAGTGTCATAAAATTATGTATCAATGGAAAGACAATTTAATCAAGAATGTAATGCAACAAAGTTTGTTCAATTATCTGTACTGTATTCTATGAAAAGGTATACCCAAATAACCAGAAAAAGGAAGCACAACTTGCTTAGGTTAATATCAGGTAGCTTTCCTTCATCTGATTGTAGCCAATGAGCATGAGTGTTTAGAGAGCCAATCAGGTGTCATCTTGTTTTGGCAATGAGCCAATCAGAACACAGTAGGATTCAGTTATTGATGTCATGTATTAAAGCTGAGAGGAGGACGTTTGTCGGTGTGTTATGTGATCGCTATCAGGTTGGGTTTTTTGTGTTCTTTCATTTAGCGAGCTTGTAAAACATAATAAAATTAAAGTAATGGTGCAAAGAGTTGACTGGTCACCCAGAAAGCGATGTAAAATAGTATTATTAAGTGAACAAGGCTACCCTTATAAAGAAATTAGAAGAAAAATTGGTGAAAACTTAACCAAAGGTGGCATATTTACTGTACACTTTTCCCAAAAGGTTTCCACAATTTTGGCCACTACTGTAAATAGCTTTTTAGACATTCTTCAGAATGCAGGAGGGACTATGAGTGCTGCTACTGTCCCCTGCACTCTCCAGGCATCCCCCTCTTGACACCCCATTTCAGACTTTTGAGATGAGAATGAAATTCCACTCATGGTCCTCTTATAAAATTGTGTCTGCAGTTACATGGGAAGCACTACTTTTATTCAGCCGAATACCAGTTGAAATTCTTCTGAGACTTTGCTGCTTAAACAGGTCAAGGTTTGTAAACTGAGAGCATCCCGATGAAGCATTTAAGTGGAGTCCCCTCTCCTTTGCGTCCTTAGGAGCTCCAAACAATGCTTGCATGAAGAGGGCTTCAGAGGCTATGGATAAGCTGTGAATGACGATTACTTAAAATACTAGCACATTGCTTTTTTTTATTTTTTTAACTTTCAGATGGCATGTCAAGAGCCATTCCTAAAGTAGGAGTGGGTAAGATATGGAAGTGGGAAGGACCAAACTAAGCCATTGATCCAATCCAACTTCTAGTCAATAGGTCAGTGGTGGCGAACCTATGGCACACGTGCCAGAGGCGGCACTCGGAGCCCTCTCTGTGGGCACATGTGCCGTTGCCCCAGCCTCGCCTTCCCCTGTGACTCCCTCCTCACCAGCAGTACCCCTGCAGGAGAGTCGCCCCCGAGTGTGGCCCACACGGAGCAGCGCAGCCAAGGACATGGCAGACAGGCAGCTTGGACAAGACTCTGCCCTCACGCCCCGTCGTACGCAGATGATGCTGTGGGGCGCGGGCAGAGGGCATGGCCACCATGGCGCTGGTGGGCTGCCTGGGCGATCTGCGGCGGGCCCTGGAGGCGGTGAATGGCCCTGCAGGCAGGCAGGGCGGGGGACGGGGTGGGGGCAGTTTTTGGGCACTCGGTCTCTAAAAGGTTCGCCATCACTGCAATAGGTGCTAAGCTGGTGAAGATGCCTTCAGTTTTG